ACTGGCATTTAATTTTGTCTCCTGCTTTGCCTAGTTTCCGAGTTACAACTTGTTTTCATAGACGCTTCTGTCACAATTGATTGGTGTCGTTAGGCCCTATTTGTATAATGACTGATCCAAATTGATCCCATTTCTGTGTTTTTTTACCTCGATATTTAATCATGTCATGTAAAAATCTGTTTGTATTCTCAAAACAGTGTCGGCCCATACGTTTTCACATGCAATACAGCAATTAATACTCCCTTGTTGTAACCCGGTGTTAGGTGGTATAAAACCTACACATGTTATTTGTCATCATTCACTTGATGGTCAGTTAATGAATTTATAACAGGTATAATTAGTGGTAACACACTTTAGATTACCTCGATAAAGGTTCCCATTTGGCATTTCTTGTGTCTGAGTAAATATTCAACATTATGAACATCGATCAAAGGATTAACCGATAACACGCTGATTGATTAATTACTTTTATCTTACACAGCGGAATTGTCAAAGGTAGTGTTTATGTATGTAGATTTACTAATCTATACTGTATACACTCTCTGCCGTCATGGTCAACGTTCAGTGAAACAACGTCCTTCTTCAAAGGATTAACCGCAATACATTGATTGATTGCCCATTATTATTAACTAAATTACTGTTTTTAAATGAAAGACGGACATTATGCAATTAGTTGACAGGTGTGCTATCTTGGGTGACCAATGAGACTATATACCAATACCTGAAAAGATTTATCACTTTTTCATTGATATTAAACTGTTAAAAGACACATCATTTGGAACAGTTTTGTGGATATTGATGGAAACATTCCTCAAACAAGGTAATGGCCTGATATTGTTCCTATAACTTTAATCTGTTTTTTTAATTTTAATATTTGCATTTTGTTTTTAATCATTTGTCGTAGCATTCAACAGAATCATTGTTTTGCCTACCGTGAAGTGTAATGAGACAGACAACATACACTAGGGTGTGTGTGGCAATTATGATTCACATTGGCAAACTATAAAATGTCTAGATATTATCAGTTCTGTTATAAATTCACTATAAGTATCAAAGCAGATCGCCAGCTTTTATTTAGTTTCAAAATGCATAAAGCTATGATAATAAACTAATTAGGATTATAAAGACCAAATATAAAGCACGACATTGACTAGTATCTACATACTGGTGAGTGGACATTAACCATGGGAATGTAGCAAGAAATTTATCGCTAGGTATTGTGACTCTCACCCCACCTCGCCTCACGTGGAAGAAATCGCTATGTTATAAGTTGTGTCATGCAAAATCCTTTTGGTTATGATTCCAATACATATTTAGCTTCACGAGTGGAAAGAAGTTTTGATTTTCTAACTTGATGAAAACAATCTATAATCTCATTAATTCTAACAGACTTTACGATTTTCAAAATGGCGCTTCCATCGGGAACATCCGCCAGTCTGTGGATAAATGCTATTTAGGTTTGTTTTCACCGAGTTACAAAATCAAAACTACTTTTCACTGGTAGTAAAATATTTATTTTATTGATAGCCAATAGGATTTTGCATGACATATAACGATAACATAACAATTTCTCTCTGGGCAGCCAGGTGGGTCAATATAATACTACTTCCTACAATATTATTGTTACTTCGACCACAACCTCACTTCGAGGAAGAAATCGTTATGTTACAAGCTGTGTCAGGGAAAATCTTTATGGTCATCAATCATATGCATATTTTACTACAACTAGTAAGTAGTTTTGATTCTTTAACTTCCGTGAAGCTGATCTGAACACAAGTAAGATATCGATTTCAGGCTTCCACATAACGCCAGCCGAACTCACAAACATAACCCATTTAGCAATTTAACCGCGGGTCCTGTGGAAATCTGTGCATGGTGACACCATCACCCTACCCTAGGAGCAATTGACGACAAAGCAACGATTCGGGCATGTCGTCGTTGATGTCGAGAAATCATCAAAATGATGAGCTGCTACACACTTTCTATACAACTAACTGAAAATCGCCTCATATGACGTCACTGCAGTGCTCTGGTTAAGGGGTCCACGTCGGCGAACAGCAAGAGTGTAGCCCAAAAAATGAGACAACTGATCCAGGATAATTTGGAACTGGTCCAGAGCTAAAGTCATGCATCCTCGGATGTAAAAGTCTTGATCAGAGTAAGTATGCTCCAGAGCAGTGTTAACAGCGTCGACTGCTGCAATCACTAATAGATGGCAACGTCTTTCTCACAGCTGAATCCATGTGAGCAAACTCTCGGTCCTCAATAAGGTAGGGTGAAGCAGCTCGTTTGCCACACAGGGTTCCAATATCCTCTGTTGGAGCCTAGAGATTTTTGTTAGGCCGTGGACATGAGAGGTAGACGGCTTATATCTGGGAGCAGAGAATCCGCCCTTAATTCATTTCAGGCTCTTGAAACCATCATTTAGTGTACTGGATAATTTCAGAATACAAGGTCGAGGTGGTAGGGTGATGGTAGACCAATCCCGGTTCCTAAGAGTATAAGAGTGATCCAGGTCATCTGCTGAAGTACTCAAGGGAAGTTGGAGCTTCTCAACAATCCAAAGGAGTACCTCAGGTGTCTCAACTGCTGCAAAGCTACCCCCCCAGGGGTAGATAACTCAGAGTGAGCGGGAGATGCAGGCATGGCTATTTGGACTGGATCAATCTCAGGAGGTGGACCAGATGAAGAGCCAGGAGCTACCGAAGCCGGATGGGCTGGAGTAGACGGCTGTATTTGGTTCCAGGTTGAGGTTATGGCCCTGATCATCATATTTAGATCCGGAGTCGCTGTAGGAGTGGGATTGTTATCAGGTTCCCATGACTCAGCAATGATCCTAGAGTGAGTCGAAGGATTCTCAGAGCATGTAGACGGAACATCGTAAGAGACTGTAGGCCTATTAGTGGTATCAGAGCAATGATCACCCGAACGTCGGTCAGAGGAACTGTATCGAGATCTCGACGTGGTAAGTACCAAAGTAGGTTTGTAAGCCGGTGATCTGGATTCCCTAGTATGGCTAGGTGATCCGGTATGATATGAAGAACTAGTCTGGGTCTCTGTAGTTCTAGTTGGTGATCTGGTTCTGATTGGAGCTCTGGTACGACCATCTGAATAGGATCGGCCATGAGATGTGGATCTGTACTGTGATCCCGATTGGTCAATGGCTCTGTAAGGTGATCTAGATCGTATAGGTGACCTGGGTTGGTAAGATGATCTGGATTTGTAAAGTGATCTGGATCGATGCACTAAATCGAAACTGTGATCGTGATCTGGATCTATAAGGTGATCTGGTTTGCAGTTGCGATCTGGCTTGATTTGGTGATCTGGATTGGTTAGGTGATCTACTTTGATGTTGTGATCTGGATCGGTTCGGTGATCTGGATCGGTCTGGCGATCTACTTCGATGTTGTGATCTGGATCGGTCCGGTGACCTAGATCGGTCCAGTGATCTGATTCGAAGTTGTGATCTGGATCCATTCGGTGATCTGGATCGATTAGGTGATCTGGATCGGTCCGATGATCTACTTCGATGTTGTGATCTGGATCGGTTCGGTTATCTGGATCGGCTAGGTGATCTGTCCGGTGATCTGATTCAAAGTTGTGATCTGGACCCGTTTGGTGATCTGGATCGGTTAGGTGATCTGGATTGATCAGGTGATGTGGATCGCAGTTGTGCTCTGGATCGTGACTGTGATCTGGATTGATCCGGTGATCTTGATCGGCACGGTGATCTAGATTGGGCTTGTGATGGTGATCTGGATCATGAAGGTGATCTAGATCGTTGTGGTGATCTAGAATGATGTGGCGATCTGGATCGGCGATTAGGTGATGAAACCTGAAGTGTTGATTCATGATTAACGCCCCCTTGCGACGCTGTTGTAGCCAGCTCTGTCCGGTTCAATGAACTGTGGGGAGACAGTTGGCTGGTTGAACGCGGTTGGCCAGGCTCCAAACAATCTGAGACAGTCGAGGGGGATATGTACCGATGATCTGGATGATGATAGTGTCGATCTAAGGTCCCCTGGTAGTGTAGATAGCACAGGTAACGAAGAATTGTCGATCACAACCACCCGCGAGTGATCTGACGCTAGGGAAGGAGGTGATTGATGCGTACATAATAGGTGCCGAACGTCCTCAGATAAGTAAGAATCTGATGAAGCGTCCATAAAATCCTCTTGAACCACAGACATCGCTCTCTCTTGCATGAAGGTACGATTTTCTGTCGCTGTAAAGTAAATTTCCTGTCCTTATCGGCAAATTCTCCGGGAGCAAACACGAATGTAGGCCTTAAAATCCTCATCTTTTAGTGAATTACACTTGCCACATCGTTTGTTCCAGTTACATTGTCCAATACAGTCACTGGCAGACGAGTGAGGGTAGAGGGACGAATAATTCGTCTTGCATTGAGCACAAACTTTCCTTTTCCTTGGCTGATTATAAGTTTTCCCCATGAAATAATGTCCCTAATATACAGCACGTCCACAGAGTCGTGCGACAAGAAAGAGAATGATCATTCAAGGTAGTCACGTGGGCAATTAGTGGAGCATGCTGCAAGCTTTATTAGGAACTAGAAAGCTAATTAAGGATAGCAGCATGGAGTGCACGGGCGAATGAACAAGGAGGCCTATGGAAAAAAGTTTACAGTCGTTCCACTAAAAGTCGAAGCAAGAGAGAGAAGTGCAAGTCGTGAGATAGGATAAGTTTAAAAATTGCCAAAAATGTGCAACTAGCAAAAGCCACTACTTTGAAATCTGCCTCATTTATCTGCCATGTTTTGTTGAAAGATATTGAAAGGTTTTCGAGTTGTGCGATCATTACATGCCAGGGGGATAATAAAAATGGTGTTACACAGAAGGTCATTTAGTATCCTCTATTCATCCCACATCCGTGGAAGCCAGTGTGGAAGCCAGTGTGGAAGTCAGTGTGGAAGTCAGTGTGGAAGGATGTATAGCTCTGGGCCATGTAAGCCCAGTCAGTTTACTTCAAGTAAACCCACTCACCTTGCAGCTTTGGCAAACCTACGAAGTGGTTGTGGTCCTGTTTTAAGTGAAACCTCAGCGACATCTGCATAATCTAACGCTATACTTGATGTCCTGAAAAGTTAAACAAAATCTGTCAACTCTAAATACACTTGAGTGAGTAAGTTGAGTTTTATTGTTTTATGACAGTGAGTGAACATATTCTGTAAGGAAAGCCAGAAAATAATGTTGGTCTTAGATGTTTTACCACTATGTTGAAACTTCCTTAAGTGGCATTTAGAAGCTGCTAGGATGAAGTGGAACACATTTATGGCTAGACAACTTCTTTGTTGCAGTAGGATCTACACTGAAACATCGCAACTACTGCAACAAAGAAGTTGTCTATCCATAAAAAGTGTTAAAACTTAACTATGTTGAAAGCCAAGAGCAGGAGAATGGTGCTGGAAAACCTGGAAACATCGTTCATGCAAACCCATGATCGTAGTGTTCGGTCACATCTTAGTGACACAACTTAGCAAGGCTATCCAACACTCGACAACTTAGCAAGTCTATACAACATTTGACAACACTTAGCAAGGCTATCCAACATTTGACACAACATAACAAGGCTATCCAACATTCGACACAACCCAACACTCGACACAACTTAGCAAGGCTATCCAACATTCAATACAACTTAGCAAGGCTATCCAACACTTGACACAACTTAGCAAGGCTATCCAACACTCAACACAAATTAGCATGGCTATCCAACACTCGACACAACTTAGCAAGGCTATCCAACATTCAAGACAACTTAGCAAGGCTATCCAACACTCGACACAACATAGCAAGGCTATCCAACACTCAACACAACTTAGCAAGGCTATTCAACATTTGACACAACGTAGCAAGGCTATCCAACACTCGACACAACGTGGCAAGGCTATCCAACATTTGACACAGCTTAGCAAGGCTATCCAACATTCAATACAACTTAGCAAGGCTATCCAACACTTGACACAACTTAGCATGGCTATCCAACACTCGACACAACTTAACAAGGCTATCCAACATTTGACACAACTTAACAAGGCTATCCAACACTTTACACAACTTAACAAGGCTATCCAACACTCGACACACCTTAACAAGGCTATCCAACATTTGACACAACTTAGCAAGGCTATCCAACATTTGACACAGCTTAGCAAGGCTATCCAACATTTGACAAAACTTAGCAAGGCTATCCAACACTCGACACAACAGCAAAGTGATGACTAAGTAAGGGATACGCGGGGACCAAGCTTTCACTTCAAAACAACTTTAATCTAATCTTGTTACTATTAACCAACTTAGACAACAGATATTGGTATATACGAACATAACAATACACTGTGGTATAAATGACAGAACATGATGTGGTATACACCTGTATATACCACAGGACTAAATCTCTGAGAACACTTGCAATGCCTCCTCACCTGCGACACAGGAGATGGCTGCACTTGACCAGTAGATGCATACAATGGACGGCTACTACCCCGATCAGCAGGAGCCCAATGGTCCCTGTCTAGAAGGAAGGAAGTAGACATATTATTATTGGATACTTATATAGTGCACATCTTATTATCAATCTCAACTCCCTGGGGAGCATACAATTCTTGCTGCCACAAGGCGCACTGAGTTATTGTGGCTTTCCCATCCTCATGAGACATAATGTAGACATGGCATTCAAATGTGACAGAGAAATCCAGGGAAAGACCTGTCTCAGGAATGCCAGGATCAGAACAGATTGTAACACATAAACAGAAATAATGAGCATTGCCGATGGAGGACAAGTACATTTACACATGAAATAAACCCGTAAGGAATGTAAGATACACGATTCGTTAATAGAAATATTAGCATGGAGGTTATTGTTGGATAATTATAAAACCTGTTAAGTAGAGATGTTTTCCAGGCCCTTACATTTTGGAGCTATCAGATGCCAATGAACCTACCCACAATCCTGCATTCTTCACAGCGATGGGCATGGCTAGGATCCCTGTACCAATGTTTCCCTTGAGTAGATGCATGAGACTCTGCAGGTTGCTGGAGAGATTAGAACACAAGCATTATAAAGAATACTGAACTATATGTCCGACTGGAGTGAACCAGGGATGTGTCTTGAGCCCATATTGGCAATGGAACTAGCTGCTGATCTGAATTACCAAGTGAGTCCAGTCTTACCAGAAAAAACATTTGTAATGCAAGTTTACAGAGAGAAGAACACAAGTATTATACAGAATACTGCTCTGGATGTCCAACTAAACTTGAGTGAAACATTGTTGTGTGTAGAGTCCTATAATGTTTCCAGATTGACAAAGAATTAGCTGCTGATCTGAATTCCCAAGAGATTCCAGTCTTGCCAGAACACACATTTGTAATGACAATAGGTAAGTGTGATGGAGAGAAGAAGTTTTCTACACAATACTGTTCTGGATGTCCAACTGGAGTGAAACAGGGATGTGTCTTGAGTCTTATACTGTTTCCATATTGACAAAGAATTTGCTGCTGATCTGAATTACCAACAGTCCTGTCTTACCAGAAAAACAACAACATTTGTACTGACAATAGGTAAGTTTGGCCAGTATCCACGACTCTGTAACAGTGACTTTAAATGCATAAATATTGGCTCTGTTCACATCCCTGTGAATACATCATCACACGTGTCAGTCAGTATGGTCTAAGGCTGCCTTTAGCAATATTTCAGCAATATCACGACAGGGACATCAGAAATGCTACACATTGTGCTGATGTGGGGAATTGAACCAAAGTCATTGGCATGACAAACCAACACTTTAACCACTAGACTATCCCACCACCCCCAGGGCCCCGTTTCACAAAACTCTCGTAAGCCTAGGATCTCGTAACTTTCCTCGTAGCATTCCTACCTCCTATAACGTAACACTGACTTACGATAGTCGTAGCGCTACGAGAGCTTTGTGAAACGGGGCCCAGCACCATATGAAGACTGTTACAACTTTGATCTTGCAGGTTGAAAGAGGTAACAACCAAGTTTTGATTCAGATCATGAATACACCTGGGCAATTCAAGATGTCTGCACCAAAATATCTTGTAATTCTCATCCAGAATGAAGTGATATATGCCACAAGGTGTAGTTCAGCACACTTTCAGTAAGTTTTTTGCCACAATGTAAAATAAAATCAGTAAAAATGAAATCAGAATGGTGACAGGTGAGGTGAAATGGGGTTTAACGTTGCACTTAAGAATATTTCATATGGCGATGTGTGTATGTGTGGCTGCTTGTACTAGCCCAGACATAAGCTGGGTTTAAGCATGAATACCCCACTCAGATACATTATACTGACTCCGAGCCGACCAGTCCTTGTTGTACCCATTAATGCCGAGTGCCAGGCAGGGACCAACAAATACCATATTTTAACATCTTTTCAGAATTGTGACAGCTCATGCTAGAGAATCAGATGGGTGCACACAAACCCATAATGACATAAGACGACGTCCCTAAATCACTTCCCAGTAGTCCCTGTTCTCACAGTGCTCAAGATAACATTCTGAGCTACTGGCAAGTTAATGTTCATCTAATTGGGTATTTGTATCTTTATTTGTATTCATTTCCTTATCTTTGATCCACTGGGTATTTTGAACTAATGTTTTGTTTTCTAGCTAGAAATTAATCATGGAGAACTATAGATACTGATAACACAACATCACATGACAGCTGATAACACAACATCACATGAAGCTGGTAATCAATTTGTCAAATCACCCATCATTTGTCACTAATAATCTATTCAAATGCTACTTGATATGTATAAACTATTCCATTCACCCACATGTGATATAAGCTGATGCTATTATACACTTATGTGGGCAGACAGGGTCCTCCCCTTGTGGTGTTTTACTGATGTTTTTGCAGAGCTGCAATAATTTTTCCGATGCATATGCTTCTCTGATGAGGAAGAGAAGTCTTTATGGATGACTGACAGACTGAGTTTAGTTTTACGCCGCTTTTAGCAATATTCCAGCAATATCACGGCGGGGGACACCAGAAAGGGGCTTCACACATTGTGCCCATGTGGGGAATCGAACCCGGGTCTTCGGTGGCGTGACGAGCCAATGCTTTAACCACTAGGCTACACCCACCGCCCCCTTTATGGATGATCAACTCATGGATGACTCTGAGGGAGTTGGTTCGATTCCCGTATGGGACTCAACCCAACAAAAGTACGAGAATTTGTACTTTACTGAGACAGTGTAATCCCAAATATAACATATGGTACTATCAACTTCTTTATTGTCCAAGCGATGTCTTGGTACAGATACTTATACCATTTTCAAGCATTAGCTGTCTGATAAGGAAATCAGATGGTATTTTGTTGAACATGAGCACTAGTTACTAATGTACTCCCAGAAATAGACATCAAATGTTTTTGGCATTTATGTGTTTATTACTTCATTAAAATAGGTAGTTTTAACAAATATTAAAAAAACAATGCTTTTCCCAACTTGTCCTTTTAATTTGGTCCTCTGATCATCATCCAAAATATGATTTTACTGGTAAAAAAAAATAATTGCATACAATCAACAAATTTGGAAACATGTTATAACTTACGTCACAATCAACAATGGGTGGTAACAACTATAATACATACAGTTTAGACGGGAAGATGCATTTGCACAAGCGTTGCCATAGCAATTGTGCAACTGACAATCAAAGCTATGAATGCACTCGTAAAAATAAGAAACTTTCAACAAGAGTAAAGGCATGAAAAATGTACGGAGAAAATCCCTAAATCATTTATTTTTTATATCAACTAGGATAAAAGAAATAAAGAATGAATGGAATATGACACATTTTTATAAAATATATCCTGTATGCGAACATATGGAGAGAACATCTCATTTGCATACTATAGCTTGCATCAGAAACATACATTTTGACTTTGATGAAATTTCAAGGGGTAACAAGAAAAAATTGTGTCCAGGGACACAGATGCCCCCGCTGCTGTAGGAAGAGTTCACACATTCAGGGTCCCACTGAAGTACTTCAAAACACTAAAAACAATGTGTTGAGGGGTTAGATAACACAACCTATTATCATATAAAGATCAATAACTGAACAAAATTCACGAATAAGTTCAATAAACTTCTATGCAACTATGAGATGCACACCTTTCGAGTCCCAATGAAACACACATATAAGCTTAATCAATTCTGTCGAGCAGTTTTTGTGGAGAAGTGGATAGATCTAATCCCCTATTTCACTATCATCAGAGAGAAATTCAACAAAATTTATCTAAGTTCAAATGTCTCTAAACATACAAAAAAATATAAAATACAAAAACAAAATATGAGATGCACACCTTTAGAGTCTCTATAAAAGACATATGTAAGCTAAATGAGTTTTGTGCAGTGTTTTTTGAGGAGAAGTGGATAAAGTACACCCCCTGTTGTATGGGACGAACAGGATGAATAGAACCAAATTCAACTAAGTTCAAACATCTGTAGAAGTGACAAAATTAAGAAATTGGATGAACAAGGTCCAATGAAACACACGTAGAAGCTCAATCAATTCTGTTGAGCAGCTTTTGTGGAGAAGTGGATAGACTTCACCCCCTACAACACTATATTCAGAGAGAAATTCAACAAAATTTATCTAAGTTCAAACGGCATTAAAATTGGAAAAATAAATAAAATACAAAATCAAAATATGAGATGCACGCCTTTAGAGTCCCTATAAAGCACATGTGTAATCTAAATGAATTCCATAAAGTAGTTTTTGAGGAGAAGTGGATAACATACGTGTACACCCCCTGTTGGATGGAACAAACAGGCTGAATAGAACAAAATTCAACTAAGTTCAAACATCTGTAAAAGTGACAAAATTAAGAAATTGCATAAAAAAATACTGAAATGCACACCTTTAGAGTCGCTACAAAAGACATGTAGAAGTTTATTCAATTCTGTTGAGCAGTTTTTGTGGAGAAGTGGATAGACTTCATCCCCTATTACACTATCATCATAGAGAAATTCAGCAAAATGTACCTAAGTTCAAATGTCTCTAAACTTACAAATTAAACCAATAAAATAAAAAAAAATAAAAAAACAAAATATGAGATGCACACCATTAGAGTCCCAAGAAAGCCCATGTATAAGTTCATTTAATTTCACAGAGCGGTTATGGTGGAGAAGTGGATAGAATACATTCCCTGTTTCGTACGACGGACGGACACCGAGGGTAACCCTATATGCCCCTGCCATATATGGCGGGGGCATAAAAATGATATGATGTGCTCTAGCTTCTATAAACTCATCAATTTCAGATGATTTCACAAAAAGTGTTAAAAATAAAAGTTTGGAATAACAACAGTCATAGAATATTTAACAATCCAACTTAAGTCGTGTTCAAAACTACAAAATAAGTGCCAAAAACCATTTTATTTTGATTTCCGGAGGTACTTTATCAGCTTCACCATCACAATCACCATTAACATCATCATCATTATGTGGGACAGGGTCATCTGAGTGATATGACCTTCCCGCAAACAATGCCATCAACAATTTAGTTGCACTAGTTTCAGTTCAATATGCGACTGTCATCATCATCATCATCATCATCATGTTATCTTAGTGATATGACCTTCTCGCACACAATGCCACAAACTATTTATTCTCCACTAGTTTCAGTTTCACATGCGACTGTCACTACTGAGGTATCAACTGCCACAACAGTAACACCTCCTTCCTGTCGTCACCATTGTTGGACAGCTTACAACACAACAAAATCATTTGTTTGATAGAATATTCACACTATCTTCCACTTCCTGTCAACAGTTTCACATTCGACTATCCAAACACGGTGGAATCCAGTGACTCAAAAACAAAGGCTAGTGGGTACTTTCTAAACTTCCCAGTTTCAGTTCTAGAACAAAATGAGTGAGTGAGTGAGTTGGGTTTTACGCCGCTTTTAGCACTATTCCAGCAATATCACGGCGGGGGACACCAGAAATGGGCTTCACTCTAGAACAAAAGGCTCAACAACTGCTCAGTTTTCATAATTTCTATTT